CACACAGCATTCTTTTTCATCATTGAGTCTTCAGTCCCTGCTAGCACAAACCCAGTTCACCCATCCTGCTAGCTGAGCAAAAGTGTTACTGGTGCTCTTGCTGTTTCTTACTTTGGGTTGGATTTTGCCAGTTTCATGTTGGAAATTGAAGGGTAGAAGGAAATGGAATGTGTGTGTAACTGAAATTGAGGGGCAGTTCCAGACCAGAGTTGCGTTCTTTAAATGGCAGAACCATTAATGCTTGGCAGCCAGCGGAGTAACTCACCTTTAAACAGAGGCAGCTATTTTATGTGCTGCTCTGTATTTTAATATGTTGTCCATTTTTTAAGGAAGGTTATTATAGGTGAATTCTGTTTCTAAAACTTTGTGGGTTTAGATACATATTAACCAACCAATTAAAAGGTTACTTTTGTGGAATCAGAATGAAGTGCTCTACAAGGAAGTCCCAAGCCCAGCCACTCTGCTTTTACCGTACCCCAGACTGTCTATTCATTCTTAATTTGGCTCCTTTGCACAAAAGTGTGAATTACTGGTCCCGCGGGGCACTGCTTAGCATGAGCATTGGGTCTGTGCGCTGGAGAGGAGCCTGTGATGGATAGAGAAGAGGTGGTTTTGGGGAGATCTGTGCTCGATCCTTGCATCTGCAGTGTTTGATACTGGTCAGTACTAGTAGATACCAGTCCTTAGGGCAAACTTACTGGTTTGTGTCCTGGTGTAGGTTTGTTTCTGCAAAAAGGCCGGGTTCCTGCATTTGCCTGCTGCCTTCTGCCTCCTTTGTTCTGGCACAAGTCGTTTTGTTGGTATTTCTCTACACCAAGTCGACTGCCTTCACAGCTGTGGTGGTGAAGGCTCTGTGCCTGGAGAAGGCAGGAAGGTGCAACAGCTCTGGTAACCCAGAGAATCTCAAATCGGGTGACCAAAAATTACTTAAAGCATTTGGCCTAAATTTCTTCTGTATTTCACAGCCCTGAATGAAAGAGGAGGGTAATACCTCAGCGTATTTGTGAAAAAGTTGTTGCTATAGAGAAGCCACTGAAGGAATTTAAACGGAACAGGAAACATAACAATAGGCCTTGTGCAGAAGATGCAGAAAATACTGAATAGCCATTGAAGCAAACATTATCGTATATCCTCATCCTACGATGTATGTCTTTGTGGAAAAAATAGCGATTTTGAGAACTGTGTGTAAAGGTTGATGCTAGTCCAGGCACTTTCTTGGATTGGGTTAACTTTTAACCTCCCTATTTCGAGGAGCTTTTGTGTCATTTCCTTTGTGTTGCTGTCCACTGCAGAGATGCCAAGGGTTCTGGCACCTCCAGACCCACTGGGGTGCTTGGGGATCTGACCCTGGGGTGCTTTAGTCTTGGATCTCCTTGCACTCTGAAGAGGTGTGTGTTTTCTGATAGTGGCAGGTTTTTACCTGTTTTTTCCTAAAGCCTTTTCTGTTCCTTCTTCTTTAAACTTCAGGTCCTGACTTTGCCTTGCCCCATGGTGCTGATCCATTTCAGGGGGGGATGGGATATAAATTATAATCTGTGAATTCTCTCCATAATCTGAATCTCTTTACATCCCACATCGTGCTGGAATTCTTTCCTGCATATAGTATTTCAGAGTAACACGTCCTGTTTCCATTGCTGTACCCCCTTATTTAATCTTTCTCTCAGTCACTGATTCTGCTCTCCCCCGTAGAAGTTCCTTATTCACCTGGGCTTCCGGATCAGATGTAACTTCCTGAGCTTCTTCACCTTCCTGTTTCCCTTTCTCTCCCCTTCTCCATCTCCTTATCCCGGTTTGTTTAATCAGCTATTACACGTTTTATGTGTACCTCAGGTTCATATTAAATCTTTAATCCACACTCTGTGACAACTTCCATTTTGCCTCCCCAAACCCCTTTTTCCCTCCTCCATCTGCTTGTCCCCCAAGTCCGTTAGATGTCTTTATTGTCTTCTCTTTATTGTATTCCATGTAGCTTCATCCTCCGTGGTAGGCAGAACTGGGAAGTGGAGGGAATGGATTTCTGAGAGTGCTTTTTTTTTCTGTTCTCCTTTTAATTTTTTACTAAAAATAAATACGTGGACACATCTATATAAGCCGATTTCATTGTACTCAGTTTAGCATATGAAAACTGCCTTCCCATCAAAACTTACATTTCTGCTCTGAAATGTGGACATAAAAGGTCTTATGCTGCTGGTGTTGGGTGGAGAAACCAGTGTGTTCTCTAGTCTTGCTCGTTAGATACGAATGATCGAATTTTGATGGACAGAGCATTTTACCAAGAAAAAAGCACATCTGATGGAAAATACAGTCTGCAGAGGTAAAGCTTGATAAAATTAGGAGCATACTTAGTTTCCTGAGGTGGGCGGCATTGTTATTGGCTGATAACTGCTGATGAAAGATACACAAGGATGCTCTCCAATACCAGCATTCCTTGCAGTTGCCACTGGTTATTGGTCTGCTGAGAAAAGGATGGCAGCTACTGTTTCCAAGGGAAGCACACAGGTGGGTTCTCTTTTGGGGTTTTGGGTTTTTTTAACGGTTTCTTCCCACCCAATGAACATGGGAATGTGGAAGAACATCTCCTGCATAGACAGAGTGTTCGCTCCAGCCTGATTTTACATCAGTAATAATGTTTATGTAAGCAGCAGAAATAGCCCTTAAAAAAATCAATTGACTATTGCAGAAGCTGGTAAGTGAGGGCACTTGGCTGGCGTGGGGAGTGAGAGGTGGTGGTAGGAGGGTTGGATTTCCCTCTTTATCCGCTGTACTTCAGAACGGGTTCACCGTTCAGGCACCAGCCACCGGAAATCACTGTGTGTCCCGGCATTCGTTGGCACCGTGTCTGAGAGAACTACTGAAAGTTTCAGTCTCTGGTGAATTAGAATAATGATGGCCTTTTTTTGGTAAGTGTTGAGAACATTCTGTTCTTCGTGAAATTAGCTCACCCACAGCTTGGATTTGAGAGCGACTGGAAATACGTTTTTAAAACTGAAATACAAGGATTTAGATGAAATGCCAGGCTGCATGAGCGCAGCTTTCCATATTTGCAGTTGGTATGGTAGGTTCAGCTGGCTGTACGCTGTAGTCCGCAGTGCTACTCGCATGTTACAAACAGTATCTACTGTTCCGTGTTCTTCTGTTATCACAGACATTTCAGAATGTTTGAAAATACTGTACTGCACTTAGGAATTATATAATTCTTTTAGAACTTAGATTAGTATGCCCTAAGTCCTTGATCTACTCTTCTTTACAATTTTACTAATATGATTTTGTTAAATACTGGCTGCTAATGCTTCTTGGGGTTTTATGCAAATGAGTTAAGAGGCAGCACGGTTTTGGCAAGCTACTGAGTACTGGTAGACAGAAAAGACCTAATAGTTGCAATTTTTCTGTCTCTGGGCCATTTATCACTACAGTGGTACGTTGCAATTTATTAAAGCTGCAAGATGTTGGATGAAGTGGATGTTTCTAATTTTAGTGTTTTAAAAGTTGCAGTACTCTGGCTCCAATCTAGTTTTTACCATCTGGTTAAATTTCAGTATATTAAAGTGTGTTTTGATAAACATTTAAGGCAGTTCTCAAGCTTGCACAACTTGCATCATGGGCTGAGCCTGTGCTCTGGTGGTAAAGGTTGGATAGTTTTGGGCATTTGCACTAACAAAAATAGATCTTGGATGCCTGTCTTGTTGATGTCAAAGTCCTTCTCCTTTCTCCTGAACTCTGACACCTCTCTCTGCCCTTTCAGCGCTTAAAAGACTTGGGATCAATGTTCTTCAGCTCAGATAATACCGTTTTGGCAGGGGGGTTGCATTTTGAGAGCTAGTCTTGCAACTCTTCCTGGGCATCACTTAGGAAGGGTAGGTCTTTGTCATGGAGATTTACTGAGTGTTTGTCCGAGCTACCTCTTCAGGCTCAGTTGTAGCTCTGAGCAGAACTGAAGAGTGCATGTGCCCTGGCCTTATTTAGGAACTAGGGGTTTAGGACCTGCTACTGCTTTTAGTGCCTGCCCTGTGCTTTCTGGAGGCAGCTTTTAACTCGTCTGCTGCACAGTTGTGTCTGCGTAACCATTTGTCTTACTGTCTTTCGGTTTATACATCTGATTAAAGCAAAATCTGCACCATTTTCATGATATAAGGATTTTTGACACCCATTCCGGACCTTTACCGGGTTGGTTCTGCCTTTGGTTTCACAGGGTTTGGTTTTGTTTCAGGGAAGGGGGAGGGACTCAGCTGCATGGCCTACAATTCTTTCCTGTTGTTGTAGGAAGTAGGTATTTCTGGTTTTTCAACTGACTCAGAACCTGTGCGTTCTCTGTTGGGTTTCCCGTGTCTGGGGTTTTCTTACGCAGCTCTGTTGACGGACGCTCATTTGGAGCCGTGGAGTAGGTAGGGACCAGTCCTGTGAAGAGGTCTGTTTACTCACTGGTTGCTAGGGGACTTTCCGCCCGTCAGCTGCAGCGTCACCTACCTGAGCTGCCTGTGTGCAGTTCTGTTACTGCTGAAGGTCCGACATGTGCTTAGCAGTGCATCCTTTCAGAGTGAACTTGGCAGTTTCTTCATTATGAAGTAAGTAATTTGGGGCCTAAAGCGGAGAGGGCAAAACTACTGGGTTTGTTAACTTGGGTGGTATGTGTAGGAGGTAATGTTTTGTCTTACTTGAGCAGAGTTTTTCTTCATCTCCCTCCCTTCTCACAGACAGGTCGTGGACACTAATCTGCGTTTAGGCGACCAGTCACGGATTTGTTGTGCATAATAGAGTTAATGTCCAGTTAGAAATGAGGCAGCAAGACTAATTCTGCAATTTTACAGCGAATCGCCTTCGTTCAGTGTAATTTCCTATCTGCAGTCATGCAAAATTACTTTTGATGCAAACCCTGTTCTTGCAGAGAACGCCCCCGAGTTCCCTACGCTTCCTGGAGGGGTGAAAGTGGGGAGGCAGTAGAGGCGACGAGTTTCCTGCTCAGACTTGCTTCCACCTAAGTAACGTGTTTCTTTCTTTTTCAGTGATTCTCCTTTGCCTGTTTCATCGCGTGTCTGTTTTGTAAAGTTCCATGATCCTGACTCGGCAGTTGTGGCCCAGCATCTGACAAACACTGTATTCGTTGACAGAGCCTTGATAGTCGTACCATATGCAGAAGGTTTGTGCATTGTTTAATGGTCTATGAAGCCACCGTATGATGGCATTTTATTCCAGTATAGCTCACAAAAATGAGGATTAGTAAAATGTCAAAACATCTAAGATACGAACGTTTTGAAACCCTTGGTATATTGCCGCTGGCCCCTGGATTAAATAATTATTTTAACCTAATGACACTGAATGGAAGTGGAAAGTTCACTTCTCTTGGTGGTTTTATGTGTCTTTTAAGTTTAGAATATGAACATTTTAGGCAGAATTATTTGCAAATTTTGCTTTTATCAGTCTCAGCGAGACAGCTTCCTAAAGAGGCTTATGCAAACAGGTCAACATTTTAAGGAAATTTTGCCTTAATAATTGTTTGCCACTTTGGCGTAGGCGTAAATCTCTTCATGAGAATGGCTTCTCCCTCACCGTGAGCGCGTGGGAGAGTAGATGAACTCTGAGATACGCTGCCACTGCACTTGGTTGGGAACTTCCCGGAAAGGGCGCTCGCGCTCGTTGTGAAGTCCAGTATACCAAGGGTTTGCGTAGTTACCGTGTAATTTGAAAGTGAGATCTTCCAAGAGGTGCCACATGGGCACTGGTACTAGTTTGTTGGGTTTTTTTTTATTCCAAGTTTTCTTGTTCATCCTTGATATATTTTATAGAATTTCACTAAATAATAAACTCTTCTCTCTGTTATTTGTGTGTGTGATTTTTGTAGTGGAGAAGGCAAATGCAAAGCCCTTCCAGATGACTGAAAAACAGTGGGTCCTCTGCAGCTACAGGGGATTCTAGACATTAACTAAAGGCCAGCAAGCACTCAAGTCCCCAAGTGTTTTCCTGGTGTAACCACTTGTTAACTACATTTTCTCTTCTTCTTTTTATTTTTACATTTTAGGGTGTTACAGTAATTTGAAAGGCAATGAGCAGGGTTTTTGGAACTTACCTTAAAAACAAAGTGCTGAGAAGACACCTCTTCTTACAGAAGTCTTATTAAACTCTTCTAGACTTGCTTTAGAAGTAACTGATTTCCATTGTACTGTTTCTTGATTTACTTCTGAAATAATGGATTTTCCCAGATCGCGTGAATTAAGTAAAATCTCTGCAGATTAAGTCATACTACAGTAATAAATATGGGACGTGGCCTGGGTTCAGACCTCCAGTCAAGCCGTTGTAATGCTGTAGGCTGTCTTTTGAGGCCTGGGGAGCTGTCTTATCTTTGTATTCCTTAAACTTAAATGGTATGAAAACGTAATTTCTGGAATGTAGGAACCTGCAGCATGGCCTTTGGTAGAGACGTGCTGCTTTCCGAAGGCACGTTCTGAAATTGCTGTGGAGCTTCTGCTTTCGCTAGCTTAGGTAGAACAGCGTAGCTGGAAGGCGCCCTGTCCTTGTCTTTGTTTTAAAGCACGACACAGCGACAGTCCACTGGACTTAGTACTGGGATATCCTCCAAGGCCTGTGGTGGAGAATGTTAGTGTTTAACTTTTCCAATAAGGATAAAAACATTTTTCTCTTTGTCAGTCTGACTTTGTCCATTGAGCTTGATGGTGGATAAATCTGGCACATAGAGAAACCTGCCCAGTAGTTTTGGTTCAGATTGAGTAAAGAAAATAAAATAAATGAAGTAGAATATTTTCCTGGGCCTGTTTAAATCGAGGAGTTCCCCAGGGGCTCCTCCCTGTGGGGTTCTAGTGGTCCAGAATGTTGATGTGGTGTATCACGTTCGGCCGATAAAAGTTACGCCCCTGGTTCTGTAACCATGTGCTTTTGTCCCTGTGCTGGAGTCTGGTTTTCCCTGAAATGCATACTGCCAGGGTCCCAATTCAACAAGCTGTTTAAGCACGATACAGCAAGATTCTTAAAACCGTAGTGAAATTGCTCATGTGCTTAAAGCCAGGCATATGCTTAACTACTGTGCTGAACTGGGCCCTTTTATCTTTTCTTTTCTATTGTGATAATTCTGTATGACTATTGCCTGTCACTAAAGTAAATGTTTATTATCTGTTTAGCGCAATAATTACCCCTATATCACAAGCGCACTCCAGTCTTAGCACACACAGACACTTTGGTGTTGGCTGTTGCTTTGTGTTATAGAACTATACACAAAGGCTACGGTAAGGTTTAGTATTTGTAATTTTCACTGTGCTATTCCTAGATTTGGAAGGAACTCTGCGGTTAAAGATGGCTGGGGGGGGTATTTAGGTTCTTTGGTTAATGTTTGTTTCTTTTGTCTGTTTCTTTTTCTTTCATTTCTACACATTCATGCAGTATTTCATGGTTCTAACAAAGCAGCAGTAAAAAAAGCTCTTGAAGCATGAAAATTAACTGGTGAGGGGCCTCATTGCTTTTTTTGAAGTTGTAGTGTATTTATTTCTAAATACTTTTTTTAAAAAAAAACAATTAGAGGATCGGATGCATGATTTTTTTTTTTAATGAATGCAGATCTTCTGTGAGGTGTCTCAAGATAAGTCTGAGGATTTGTATTTAGATGCCAGAAATGTTGTAGTTGCACTAATTTGAAATGTTTAGATATAATTTATAAATATCCTCTGAGACATAATTTTGCATGCAAAATTACCCCATAATCTCTCTGTAGGTATGTTAATATATTTGTGCATTAATGCCCTTTATCTAAATGACCTTTTTCCCCCCTCTCCCTCCATAACTTTGGGTATCTAAATTGATGACAGCTCAATGACACAAGCAAGATAACAGTGCTGTGTATGATACATTTGTTTATATTATCGGCACTTCTCAGTATAGGTGGAAGGAACCATTACCTTTATTTAACAGTGGTTTTTCTTTTTTGTTGTTGTGTTTTACAGTTCTTTTCCCTGGTTCAGCCTGAACTATATACCAGGCCCTGCTGAAAATACCACCCAACAGTTTTCTTCTGCAGCTTATCCAGTTTCTCTTAAGTGCCCTGTACATATTGTATGTTTTATGATGAGATGCAGTTTCTTAATATGTATTACAGAAACACTACTGGTATTTGCAAATATGTAGTAAAATTGTTTTATTGAACTCTCATTTTGGGGGCTTGGGCACATTAACAAATTAATCCATCTGTATAGGGCTTTTGCTGTTGGATAGAGTAAAAATACCTACACAATTACTTGTCTCGTAGTAGGACCCTTAAAATTACATGTGCAGAGCAGGCAGTGCAGTAAGACGCTTGTCTTAGTTGGCTGCAAGATTTTGGGCCAGAAGTTCCTTCTGAAATGGCAGTGTGTAGCAGCACTCTTGGTACAATAAGCATGGCACATGTTGGAACAAATGCATTTTACTGCGCAGGTAAGGAATGTGCCGCACCGCACTGTATGTATGCACCCATCCGCCCGCACACACGCACCCCGGGTATTGGAAGATCTGCAGAGACTTTCATTTTCATTTGACAAGTCAGCAAAAGCCCTACGCTTGATTCAACAAAAATATTTCCATACCTTCTCTTTTTAAGTTTTACAAAATTTATGTGGTAGGTGTAAAAGAAAACATAGTGAACTGTACCGTATTATTAACCCCTAAATCAAACTTTTTTTGTCTTGTGTATCTTGATTTTTCTGTGTGCTTTATAGTGAAGCAGCCGACACGAGTCGTTGTTCATAAAACAGCTTTTGAAAGTTGAGAGCACACCCCTGGAGAACCGACTGTGCTTGCTTACGTTTGGTTCATGACTTAAAAATCGAGTACAGGTGATGAAATCTTGGCAGTGTTAACAAAAAAGTAGTGTGTATTGTGCTATTTTTTTGCTCTAGAAACTTAACCATTTGTAGAGAAAAAGGAACAGTCAAATTTTCACCCATTGAAGTTTCATTCTGGCAAAAAAAAATTAATGATTAAATATTCATAGACATCAAGCTTTGTATTTTAGCCAACATAAGTACTTTCAACAAACTCAGGTGGTGTATCAGGGAGACATTTTCTGGGTGTATTTGTGTATTTTCTGCCTTTGGAATGGAATGCGTTCTAATGCGAGGCTGTTTCTCTGCAGGAGTTATTCCTGATGAGACTAAGGCTTTGTCTCTCTTGGCACCAGCTAATGCAGTGGCAGGTCTGCTGCCCGGAGGTGGACTCCTGCCTACTCCCAACCCACTTTCTCAGGTAGGCTTTCCTGCTAGACTGCAGCCAGGGGGACCTGCTAGGTGTATCCTGTAGGATCCTAACTTACTGTTGGTTTTTTTCCAGGACAAATAGACTGATGTGCTAGTGCTGATTCCTAGAACGTTTTAGTTTCTCTCCCTTGATGGATTGTTACAGCTCCCTGACATGGATGGTGGCAAAACGCCGATAAGTTGCTAGATGGGATGCTTTTATTTCCCTAATATGATGCTTCTGGCATCTTGGGGGCCCTGTGTTTCTATCCCTCTCATCCCTCTTTTATCCACTGTACGCTCACAGACGGATGTGACAGGCAGCAGGGATATTGCAGAGGTTAAACGCGTGAAGTTCAAGGAGTTGATGTGCTGTGGAGATACCTTCCCTTAATTCTCCAGCTGAGGGGAAAAACGCTAGCCTGTATTTGCTCCCTATCTAAATACATCAGAAGTCCTGTGGAAGATGAACAGTAAGAGTAACACATTGTGGGAAGAGTTTCAGTCAAAGCACGTGTCTTGCTAGACAGCAAAGCGCAAGAGGCAGATTGAGAAGAATAAAGCTGCAGTAATTCTGCAGTTCTCAAATCTGCTTCTGCAGCTTGTGCTTAGCTCTTTGTGGAGCTTCCGCAATCATCCCTGATTGCGTGAAAGGTACACTTGCCATGGATCGTTCAGGAGGTCTCTTGAGCTGTGCGTAGAGGGAAAAGTTTAAGTTGGAAGCTCGAGGAAAGGGTTGGAAAAACAAACACCGTCTTAAAACTCTTTCACCAAAACCTGTCTGTATATAAATTCCTGAAAATGGCGGTAGAACCACCTTAATTTTCCTTGTCACTCTGAATCCCAACCTGCTCCCAATCCACTGGCTGGTAGAATTTATTGAACGCATCCGTTTTATGAAGAATAATTGTGGGCGGTCTTTGTTTTTTCAAACACATCTCGGAATTGTGTTCTGCAGCTCTTTGGGCTGTTGCTGGGAGTTGGGCATCCAGCTCGGTAAAACCAAATTAGAGCTGTAGTTCATGTTCACGGAATCCATGTGCGGGGATGTGGCTTTTCCTGTTGCGAGAGGAGCTCGCTGAAAATTCGCTGTCGAAGGGTGGAAGGTTCTGCTCTCTTGCTCTGCACCCTGCGCTGGTGCTGCTGCTTCCGTGCTGGCTCTGGAGCTCACCGGATCCTTCTGTGAACCGTTGCGTTCGCTTGATGCGGACACCACAAAACCAAGTCCTCTGATGGCTTGGGGGGTTGAATTGACCGCTGAGTCTCAAGTGCCAGGATGGTCAGGAAGGAAGGGCCAGCAAGACCTCAGAGCAGTGGCACAGCGAGCGTTGGATTAACTAAGATCGGGTGGTTTATAGCACAGTGTGCGTTTTGTTGCAGGGTAGGGTTTGATCGCTCTAAATGGCAAAAAAATGTGGTTAATTTAAGGAATTCAGACTTATGTCATCCATCACCCTCCAGTAGCTTTTCAACGTATTTCCCAGTTTTAACCAAATTTGAGGAGTTTGCAGAGATGCAATGATACTATGTTGTCTTTTTAGCATAAACCATGTTCATTTTCATTCTACATTGATTTCGGTATGTGGTGGTTGGCTCAAATGAATTTTCATCCTAACACTGGACAAGACTTTCATTTTTAACTTTTTCTTGAATACAGTGAATTGCTTTAACGTTTTTTCCCCCCCATGCCCATCGGGATGCAGGGAAACAGAATCTCATTTCAGAGTATTTATAGGAAAATAAACCTGCCACTTACTAGGCTTTGGAATACCTGATTAAGGAAAACTTAAATACTCAGGCTGACCTTAGGGTAAGGTTTCCTGTAGCTAGAAACCTGAGTGAAACCCCGTTGGAGTTTCCACATGCCTAATGGGTGTGAATCGATCCACCACCTTACCCATGGAATGTGACTCTGATTGCTGTCTCTGTTACAGATTGGTGCTGTTCCTTTAGCTGCTTTAGGAGCTCCTGCTCTTGATCCTGCCCTCGCTGCTCTTGGGCTTCCTGGAGCAAACTTAAACTCTCAGGTATGTCACAAATTCTGAAAGTGTCTTTATTGTTCCTGGCACGCAGGTGGTTGGATTAGTGTACGTCACACACCAGTATGGTAAATGACAAGCTAAAGGTCCAGTAATTCTGTACTGAGGCTTGAAGAAGTGTTAAAAAATACTACTTTTTATGACGGGCTTGGCTCAATCCAGTCTGCGCAGGCTGCTGGTTTTTCAGACTCTTAAAACTGGTTCAGAATGCTGTCTGTTTCTTGGTGTAGCAGGTTTGTATATGAATGCTTCTCTTCTGCTACCCTCTCTTCTAGTTTAATTTTCATTTGTATCAGTTCAACGGCCACTGGAAAATCCAGCAATTGACGTTTTTCTTGAGCATGTTTGGAATAAATGCTTTCTGTAGGAGTATCAAATTAGGTGCCAGAAGGAGCTGAGAAATAATTTGGGACTAGTCATGCAATATTTCAGATATGTGTCATTATCAAGCTATGAACAGGGGAAAAATTGTTTGACTTTTCAACTCTGTAGGTGTAGAAGATACTGCGGAGACTTGGTTAGGCTGTGGTCTTTTTAAAACTGATTTAAAAAAAGACTTAAAGTACTAAGTAATAGTGGAATGTTGAGATTTAAGGTATTTAGGATACAGCAACCAAATGCTGTACAGAGAACATGTTTTACAGGTACGGGAAATAATAACGCAGTGCTGAGAAATCCATCCTTTAGTGTTCTCTTTATGCATGCTGTGTGTAGTACAAGCAGTTAATGGTGTCATGAAATAACAGATAAAATTCAAAATGCCCATTAGGAAAACACAGATTGGGTGATGGAGCTTCTTTCCTTTGTCCATTAAACTGGCTGACAGACTTAACAGACTGTCTGGGCTCAGCACGTGTCTGCCTCTCTGTATAGAAAATTAGCGGGGACCAGACGTTTTGTTGTTGTATCCCACTGGTACAGAAAGAGACTGACTGGAATATCATCCTCTGGCAGCCCAGAAAGCCAACGATATCCTGGGCTGTATCCAGAGAAGTGTGGCCAGCAGGTCGAGGGAGGGGATTCTGCCCCTCTGCTCTGCTCTGGTGAGACCCCACCTGGAGTGCTGCGTCCAGCTGTGGAGCCCTCAACATCAGAAGGATATAGACTGGTTAGAGTGGAGATGCTCCGAGGGCTGGAGCACCTCTGCTGTGATGAAAGGCTGAGAGAGTTGGGCTTGTTCAGCCTGGAGAAGAGAAGGCTCCGGGGAGACCTTACTGCAGCCTTCCAGTGCCTGAGGGGGCTACAAGGAAGCTGGGGGGGACTTTTTACGAGGGCCTGTAGTGACAGGACAAGGGGTAACGGGTTTAAATTGAAAGTGGGGAGGTTTAGATTAGATATCAGGAAGGAATTCTTCCCAGAGAGGGTGGGGAGGGACTTGGACAGGTTGCCCAGAGAAGCTGTGGATGCTCCATCCCTGGAAGTGTCCAAGGCCAGGCTGGATGAGGCTTGGAGCAACCTGGTCTAGTGGAAGGTGTCCCTGCACATGGCAGGGGGTTGGAACTAGATGACCTTTAAGGTCCCTTCCAACCCAAACCATTCTGTGATCATCTAGATTTTCTTAAGAGCCGCAAAATACATATTTTTGGTGGAATTTTTAAAGAAGCTTTTGCTTATTGTTCATAAATTGGCATTGAGGACCTCCATGGGCAGGCAGCTTAGTTCTCTAATGAGGTCTGTATTGGAGTAACAGAGAAACAACCTGTAAGTACCAGAAGGGTATTTGTATTTTAAAGGGCTTTGATCCTGTCCAGGAAAGGGCCTGTGTTTGGCCGCTGTGGACAGAAGGTACCTAAGCACCACTGAAATGTGATGTTCACACCCTCACCACCACCCACGGGTTTTACAACAGAACAGCATGCCTTTTTGTCTGTAACTTTTGGGGTGTGGTTGGGGTTTTATCGTTTTGCTGTAGCCATTGCTGAAGGAAGATAATCTTCTTAACCGTACGCATCTGCCCACGCAGTTTTAACTCTTTCCTTTGTTTTTCTCACAGTCTCTTGCAGCGGATCAACTGCTAAAACTTATGAGCACAGTGGATCCAAAGTAAGCATCAGCGTTTACAGATGTTTGTATTGCAGTACTCTTGATCTTGGGAATATCTGTGGTGACTGAGAATCCAGTCTTTGTCCTGCTGGATCTAATTAGGGTTGGGGCAAGCTAGTGTCTTGGGGATCTTGTGCAGACTCTTTGCTGTGGTGGAGAGAAGAGGGGGAGGAAGTGAAGATTATTCAGCCTGGTATCTACAGAATAACACTAGTTAATCTCTGGGGTTTCATTCTGCTAGAGACAGAATCCGTTTTCCGTATGTCATTTTTGCCACTCCTGTGCCCGTCACGGGAAGGTGCGGCTGGCAGCTCGAGTCCTGCAAGGTGGGCACGGGAGGGCTGCATACCCCTAAGAGGGGTAGGTATGTGAGCTGTCAGAGGGTAACAGCAGACGGTATGTCTTATACTTGGTGGAAAAAAGGAGCAAATAGCAGTAAGCACATGTATTTGCTAATTTTTATTTCAGTATTCAGAAAAAAGGATGATTTTATTCAAAACAGGATGGCATGGGGACAGCAAGGAGGGGGGAGTATGGCACTTGGGGTATTAGGGAGCTGTTGAGCTGCTGGTGACATTGCAGTAGGGTGATGAAGCACATGCCATTAGGAACAAGCTGTTAGATCAGCAGAGGAGAAGTGTACCAAGGGCCAAGAAAGCACATCTGCCCCGGCAAGCCCTTGTTCTGCAAATTGCAGGAAGCTTCGGAGGGAATTCCTGCAGCTCTGGGAAAGCCCATCGCCGTGTGCTTGCCCTGCTGCTGTGTGCGCTCCGTAGACCTCTAACCCTGGTTGGCTCTTCAGCGTTTCTAAGTGGTCCGAGCCACCTGATCCCTCCTGGGCATAAAGCTGTGTCGTCATTTCTAATGCTGTGCTGGCATATTGTTCCTATTTCAGGTTGGAATTCCTGTAAGCAGGGAATGTGTAACTGATGGAACAAAGTAGTTACCCGGGATAATGGATTAGCTCAGCGTCAGGCAGGTATTGGGTGTGCCTGGTTGGCTTCAGAGCCACCGCCTGTAGAACTTCAGAAGTCATCACTGTAGGCTTCTGGTACGGCTTACAAATGTGGAAAGGGCCTTTCTGCTATGTAATACACCCTTTCCCGTGGGGGTGCTCTCTCAGGCGATGAGAATTGAAATTGTCCTGTACAAAAGTGTTCTGAAAAGTGCCACTGGGAACATCTGCAAGACAGTGCAGACCTCCCTGCTGCTTGCAGTCTGCTGGAATCTCTGAGCTGTATGGGCTAGTATCTTGTGCCGCTCTTTTCAACATCCTAGAGTTCCTGCTCTGTTACCTGAGCGTGACAGAACGCGGGCGGATTCAGATTTGCTGAGATGGGTGGCTTTGTAGGCTGCAGACTGACAGCGGAGGCCTGTATTGCTTGGATTCATCCCTACTAATTGCTAAAATTCTTTCCTATTTGCCAGGTTGAACCACGTAGCTGCAGGTCTTGTTTCACCAAGTCTGAAATCAGATACCTCCAGTAAAGAAATAGAAGAAGCTATGAAGAGAGTACGAGAAGCACAGTCCTTAATTTCTGCTGCTATCGAGCCAGGTAATGTCAATCGTAGAGCACCTCAACCCATTCAGGGTGGAGTTCTGACTCGGTGTATGATAAAAGCTGGTGGGTTTAACGGTCCTACAGTGCGAATGCTGCACGTGTCCTGCAGAGTGATGCGGGGGATTAACCACTTGTTGTTTTTCCCAAAACTCACTAATTTGAAGATTGCAAAATGCTTGAGCTTCCCCTGATGGAAGTTCATACTGCCATCCCTGAGATTGCAGCTTAGCCCCTTGACATCCTACTGATGTGTCATCTTGGGGATGATTTCCTTTCTTGTAATCCCTCATCTGCGGAAGTCTGTAAATAATTCTCTTTTTTTTGTGGCTTATTTGAGGAGATTTTATTTTGGAGCAAGATGCGGCAGTTCATCCCCAACTGCTGGATCCACAAAGTCTGTGAAGCGATAACTTGGGACACTGGAAGTAGAGTTTTGCAGCCTCCTGCCCATTTTCAGGAAAGAAGAGCACTCCCATTCCTTAATTGTACCAGAAAGATGTGCTGATTGTTTTCCTTGAGGCTTTTTGTGGGAAATTCAAAACAAGTGGAGAGTTTCTTTCGCCCTTCACAAAAACGGCAGATTCTTGAGATTTTGGCAAGACTTTCTGTTGCCTGGCAGCTCTTGTCTCGTAATGGACGTAACCGTTTTCTGAATTTTGGCCACTTCTGTGTAAAGCTTGGTTGGTTTTTGGTTTGAGGAAAAGAGTAGATAAGCCTTCTGTTCAAATGTCAAAATATTCCTTAGGTGTAGTTTATTTTACTTTCCTCTACAGCGTGGAGCTCAGCTTCCTGTCCTTTATAACATCTTCTTGGGTGTTTGACTGCGCTTTTTCTTTTTAACTCCAGACAAAAAAGATGAAAAACGAAGGCATTCAAGGTCGAGGTCGCGCTCCAGGAGGAGGAGGACACCTTCTTCATCTAGGCACAGGTAGGGAGCTTATTCCCTTAAAAATCCCACAACGCGTGGCTGAAACAGTTCCTTCAGAACTACCTCTGGGAAGGGGCGCTCCTCCCGTGGGGGCTGGCAGGTGAGGGATGCAGATGGGCTGAAGCAAGCTGAGGCTGCGGTTTGGGTAGGCTGTCCTCTGGTTTTGCGGAAAGGGTGGGAGAGATGACAGCAAAAAATACCTCAGAAGTACCCTAGAGTGCTGCAGAAGGAACTTCAGGACACCTAGTCCTAGCAGTGATTTTATTAAGCAGGGAATTGTTTCTGGTGTGGGATAAGCGAGGCCTTAGCGCAGCGCCTTGGCTTTGCACAGCCCTCGCTGCTCTGAATGTGGAGTCGCTGGGGGCTGCCACATCACGGTAGTTCCTTAAACCCCTTTTCTGTCTTCAGTCTCTTCCCAGTGTGCCTTGTGGTAATGAGAATTTGTCTAAAATCCATCTAGTAGGAGGCTCCTCCGCGCGTTGTTACTTACGTACGTAACCGTTTGCCTGTTGGGCTGCTTGTTTCTGGTGTGCAGCAAATTCAGCGCAGGGGAAGTATCCGGGAGAGAAGTGTTTCCCGTGTTCACGGTTTACTCGGGGATCAGGCAGCCTGACAGAGATCTTGATGCTGTCCTACCCAAACTGAAAGACATGTGGCTCATTTTCGCTGCTGGCTTGTCAGCTCCAGTCAGACAGCACGTGCCGGTGGTCTGGCAGAGCTGTTGGAACGGTGCCTTCCCGATCCTTCCGTATTCAGTAGCTGGCTTGGGTTTGGTTCCGTGTTGTAAAAATTTCCTCACATTTCAACGTGACGTACCAATTTGCCCCTACAGTAGGGCAGTACTGAGGGAGCTGATCGACACCTTGTTGTTCTGCGCACGCAGCATTTGTGCACTTCCTTTTTCCTTGGTGGGCTCTGTATGACTCCCTTGCTGTCTTCTGGTGGGGAGGCACAGGGACAGGTTGCCCGGAGAAGCTGTGGATGCCCCATCCCTGGAAGTGTCCAAGGCCAGGCTGGATGAGGCTTGGAGCAACCTGGTCTAGTGGAAGGTGTCCCTGCCCATGGCAGGGGTTGGGACTGGGTGAGCTTTGAGGTCCCTTCCAACCCAAACCATTCCATGATTCTGTTTTCCATATCACTGTGCATTCCGATACCGTTAGCACTGAGCAGGAGGATTCTGGATGGCGTATCAAACTTTCCCATTTTAACTCCCATGTACAATATGCTCCTGGTAGACGGTCAAGAAGCAGATCAAGGAGAAGGTCCCACTCAAAATCAAGAAGCAGGAGGCGATCTAAAAGTCCAAGGCGAAGAAGATCTCACTCCAGAGAGAGAAGCAGAAGGTCTAGGAGCACATCCAAAACCAGGTAATTGCTTCAGTCAACCTATCTGCTAGAAACCAATGATTAAATTTTGGTGCTTACTTAAAAAAAAGACCCGAACCACCGGCAAACAACCACCGTAGGGTAAAGTTAACCAGTGGCTGTTTTTAAAGTCACGCTGTCCTGTGACACCGTACCGAGTGACGTTACACTTGCCCTGTACATGTGCACCAATGCATATAAACACGTAACGTGCTTTTCCCAGGCAGACGCCGCAGGCGTTAGCTTGACTCGCTCCATTGCTGGCTTGAGAGAGCAGGAAGCGAGCGCCTAGACCGGCAGACTTTGTGCTGTTCACAGGCGGTAGCCACAGAGGAACTGCGAGCTGTTGCAGGCGGCTGTAGGTGTTGCCGCTCGTGGCGGGACGGGCCCCAGAAGCACTGAGCAGTGAGCGCTGACCTGTGTAGTTGCCGTGTCCTCAGTCGTTTCCTACAAGCAGGGACTGTACTTGAGTAGTTTGAAAACGCTGTAAACTTAAAATCCGTGTTTTATTAAAAGGGATAAAAAGAAGGAAGAGAAAGAAAAGAAACGTTCTAAAACTCCCCCCAAAAGCTACAGCACAACGAGGCGATCGAGAAGCACAAGCAGGTAAGAGTGTCGCGAAGCCTCCCGTGGTCTCCTCTTCAGCAGCAAGAACGTTTCATGTGTCAGGGTGATGGTTCGGGGGGTGCTGGGGGGTGCACCAACGCGCGTGCGTGCTGTCCGCGAGGCGCTGTGATTCCCTGGGGGTACTGTTTGCCTCAGAGCGGTTTCTGCGTCCGCCGTATCATACGATGCTGGGAGGTGACTGTTAAACTCCTTCCCACTTTACAGAATAAATCTGTGCAAAACGTGCCTTTTTCTTTAAAAAACTTAAAGTTGCCTTGGAACGTTAACGAGAACAAACTGGTTTGTGTGTGCAAAGAGCCCAAGTCCCTAACGCAGTCTGAGCTGGCAGCCGGTTGGTGGAGGTACAACGTCTCGCTCG